CCAGGGTGGAGGGGTCCTTGATGATGATGCTGCTTCCTGCTGAAGTCTGCCAGTATAAATGTCTCTGAGGGGGTCAGTGAGGTGCCGATTGTCTGCTGCCCTCACCACCCGCTGCAGTTTCCTCTTGTCCTCCACGGTGCAGCAGTACATCACTGCATCACTACATCACTGTGATCTACATCACAGTGATGTACATCACTGTGATCTAGATCACAGTGATCTGTGATGTAGATCACAGTGATCTACCACAACAGCTCAGGGTGGAGGGGTCTTTGATGATGATGCTGCTTCCTGCTGAAGTCTGCCAGTATAAATGTCTCTGAGGGGGTCAGTGAGGTGCCGATTTTCTGCTGCCCTCACCACCCGCTGCAGTTTCCTCTTGTCCTCCACGGTGCAGCAGTACATCACTGCATCACTACATCACTGTGATCTACATCACTGTGATCTACATCACTGTGATGTAGATCACAGTGATCTGTGATGTAGATCACAGTGATCTACGTCACAGTCACAGAACACAACAGCTGATGGTGCGTGCACGCTGATCTCAGAGAGCTGGCCTTGTGCTGTGTTCATCACAAACACTGGAAATGTCACATTTACAGGTTTGTGTTCAGCGTGTTCTGCTTATTGGAGCGTTTTTATCCGAAGCTGTAACTCTGACAGCCGTTAGTGTCGGGGACTGAATCTGTTTAATGCAACGTTCCTCTTATTACATCGTTCACTGAACGAGAAATCAGACGGAAATCTGTCTGCAGCGTTAAATTCAGACTGTTTTGTGTCTGTATGCACGCTTACCACCACCGCCACCACCGCTGCTGCTGCGGCTCAACTCAGCGGACTGGCCAGTGCGCTCACATTAAACCATTAAATGTTGAGCTGCACATTTGAGCAGCTGCAGAGTGCGAGCAGGGACTCAGAGCAGTTCTGCAGACCTGCAGGTTGTTGTCGAGCCCGCAGCTCCTGAGAGCTGTAACGATCGTGTTTTATGCAGCGCGCTGCTAAAGGTCGCTGTGGTTTCATTAAAGCTTAATCACGGATCCCAGCGCTCTGAACCACAGAACAACCCAACCCACAGTGATCTACGTCACAGGGATCTACTCTCGCAGACTTAAACAAGTGTAGCGTCGTCCTGCTGAAGAATATGACACTGCTGGGTTGTCTGGTTACCATAGTAACTGGTTTGTTGTAGCTACTAGTGACAGGACCAATAACTCAGTGAGAATCGTGAGCATAGACGCTGACGTTGATCTCGTGTTAGCTGCAGGAAACAGCAGATGTCCCAGTGTGGAGCCCTGTGGTGCACCACACAGAACAAGCTGCTCGTTATTGTCTCTGTTCCACTTTGATCTCAAACAGACACAAACTCATTCAGCTGTTGTCGCTCATCAGTTTTGGACACATCGAATCTTTGTTGCTGAGTCGTTACTGTCGGACATCTGTGAAGTCTGTTTGTGCCTCGGTGGGCTGTAGCGTAAATCCTCGTTCACGTGGACACAGCCGCGCTTCCTGTCTGATGATGGACTTCCTGCTCTTCGCTCTCATCAGCCTGTCCTATCAGAGTGTTACAGTTTCGGGGCTGAAAGCGTGACATATTTCTGTGCTCGGGTAATTACAGCGTAAATCATCCTCGGCTGTGTTTCTTGGACGAGCTGGTTTGTTGTGCAGACTTCAGAACATGAGCTGAAATCTCTCCTCGCGGGCTCGTTTTACTCGCTTTCATAACGTCTCTGCATGCAGCAGGTTAGACTGAGACACACAGTGTGTGAGGGAGTTCTTGTTTGCTGCTTGTTTATGCTGCTGTCACGGTCCGTGACTGAGGACTGGACGGCAGCGAGCGGCGTCGCAGTAAAGCGGCGGTGTTTGGGCGGGCTGGCAGCGAGCGTTTCACCGTGACAAATGTGGAGGAACACACACAGAGCTGTGCTGCTGATGAATGCGCCGTCAGACTTCATGCCACGGCTCTGCTGTCACGCTTCACTCGGGCGGAGGGGAAACATCCGTCAGAGCAGGAAAAAGAAATGTTTCTGTCCTCAGAGGCTCCGTCCATGCACGACGCTCGTCTCCTAAAAACATGCCCGTCATTGTTTGTGATGATGATGATGATGATGCATCCTCGGGCTCCTCCGTGGGCTCTGGAACCGGATCCTGGACAGATCAAACCCATCTGTCAGCTTTCATTAGGACCTGATTTTCACTGGTTTTATAACTGTGCAAAAATCTTGAGCCACCTCTCATTTCTGTGTGTTGAATGCTTTTGTTTGTTAAGCCTCTGAACTCTGACCTATGAATCATTTGTGCAAATCGTGGCTCAAGACTTTTGCACAGCCCGTTGAAAGCCCCGCCCTGTGCTGGACTCTCCAGAGCTTTGTTTCATCGTCAGCTCCTTGTGAAGTTATTTTTGTACGACTGATTTCTTGGTGCTGAATACGAGGAGCTAAAACACACCGCAGCACAGACATCCAGCACAGACGCTTTACTAACAGACCTGACGATCGATCAGAGAAAGTTTGCACCTTTGGTCCGTCTGCGCTCGCTCAGTTTCCGTGTTTGGTTTTCTCTGCGTCTCCTTTTGTCTGCCTGTGAAGACGAGGCCTTGACACAGACGAACTCCACCTCCTCCACAGCTGCTTTTCTTCCACTAGCAGGAGACACGACTCCACATTCACGGAGCGAGAAAGCCAAACACGCTCGTCTGAGCTGTAATCAAACGCTCGCAGGTAGGCGTCGTTCAGCAGGTAGCGCGTCCACAAACGTCTGACTGTGGCGATGGGTGCAGCAGGTGGAGGTTTGTGTGAAGCACAGATAAAAGCAGAAAGCTGCAGTTTGCTGTTTGTAACCAGCTGCTGTGTTTCTCCTGCAGTCGTGAGCGTGGAGAGTCGCGAGGCTCACCTCAACTCTCTGGTGCTGGAGGCGGAGCGGCGGGCGGTCGACCTGGCGGCGCAGGCTCAGAGGGACGGCCTCTCGCTGGAGGCCTGCCACAAAGACAAACAGCTGAGGGCGTGGGAGTGGAGGTGCAAGCTGTACAAACGCATGAGGACGGGCTTCCAGCACGCACGTGAGTCCGCACGCCGCCCACCTTAGTGTGTATTTCCTGCCGTCGCTTCCTGTGTGTGTGGCCTTTGAAGCTCAGACAGCCTGGCGGGGACATGCGTGACCTCGGAGCGCAGTACGCGTTCAGCTTCCTGTCAACATTAGAGCTGCTACACCCAGAGGGGGCGGGGTTTACACGACCAGCAAACAGAAAGGTTGCGATCGAGACGTGAGCGTGTGCGGTGAACTCACGGTCTCATTAGAGCAACATCAGGGTGATTCGGTGCTTCTGCTCCGGCTTCACACAGCGACCAATCACACCTGCTAAAGACGTCAGGCAGGAAACAGGAAGTCAATCACATGTTGCCATAGTTACCTGGAAAACAGTCAGAGCCACACACGCACACCCTCCTCTCTGTGCCCCTGCTCAGGTACCCCGGAGGCCCCGTCCATGGTTCGACTGAGCGTGAGCAGTAGCAGCACGCTGACCGTCACCTTCCAGGAGCCGCAGTGTCTCAACTCCACTGTGGTGACCAAGTACAGAGGTGAACACACACACGTGCACACAGGCTCCTGTGTGAGACTAAAAGGTCAAAGGTCAGGCCATCATTCACGCTTCGATGTTCGAGGTGAAGCTTCGACTGAAGACTTCCTGTTGGGTCTGCAAACCTGAGACGACCACAACAATAAACTAACACTCTCTGCGTTAATTTACAGGTTTACTTCACGGTTAAACTCTGAAGCTTCAGATTTATTCTCAGATGATGCCTCAGGTTGTCGTGGTTACAGGGAGGAACAGGAAGTGGTGCTCAGAGGTGAGGAGGCTAACGTTGTGTCTGTTGACGTGTTCACAGTGGAATGGAGCTGCCTGAAGGACTTCTCGCTGCTCGCCGGAGAGACGGTGTTGGATAACCTGCAGAGCCTCAAGTGCACCATCAGCAGCCTCACCACGGTAACAAGAGCATCCCTCCTCCGCACATCCACCCATCTGCTGCTGCTTTACTTCACAGTTTCAGGAAAAGGAGTTTCTGTCACGATGAAGCTGCTGTCGGTCTGTCGTTTGTCCGCTCGCTGTGATGCACGTGTGCGTTTGCAGCAGGCGGGTGATTTCGGACCTCGTGATGTCATTGCGCGGTCCCTGCGTTGTGCGTTGGCTGATTGGCGTCTGTGATGCAGACTTGTTTTCACTGTGCTGCACACACCGAACCACAGCTGCTGCCATTTAGAGCGGCGAGCGGCGTTCACAAACTTCCACGGCGGCCCTGAACAAGAGAACGCGCTGAAACGCCGGAGACGCTCCGAGGGCGAATAATGAGCCGCGAGGCTCTCGGACGCCACAGCTCTCATTTACATACTGAATTCATCGAGTCGGGGCGAGCCGCACGAGGAGCTCGGAGGCCTTTAAGTACTCGGCTGTCCTGGAAGGATTAGACCTGCAGGGCACACATGGGGGGGCCACGGGGGGCCACGGGGGCCTGTTTGTGGAGGTGGAAGAAAGGCTGAAGCTGCGAGCAGCTGTGACAGGAACACAGCACAGGTAAAGGTGGTGCAGGTGGTGTTTTTGTAGCCAGGGAGCAGAGTGAAGGTAGGGAGCTAATGATAGCTGATAATATCTCAGCACATGGCGTTAAAAACGTTTTATTAGACAAGAACAGCAGCGACAGCAGGAACAGCAGGAACAGCAGCGACAGCAGGAACAGCAGCGACAGCAGCGACAGCAAGAGGACGTTTGAACTCCTGGAAAAAGATTTTTAACGTTTATCAAACGTTAAAAATCCGACAAACGTCGGTGCAGGCCAGTCTCACAGGCCTGCACAGGGAAATGTTCCTCTGCTGGTTGCTAGCATCAAACTGGCTGCAAAGAGGTATGAGAAGCTCTGAGGGGTGCTGCCTGCTGAGGGTGGGGCCTGCTGAGGGGAGGGGCCTGCTGAGAGGAGGGGCCTGCTGAGGGGTGGGGCCGAGTTTAAAGAAACCTGTTTAACCCTTTAAAGCCGGTCAGAGCAGCACGCTCTGTT